TAAGAAAGAAAGAAAGAAAGAAAGAAAGAAAGAAAGAAAGAAAGAAAGAAAGATTTCATCACCGCGGGGAGGGGGCGATGTTAACTTCCTCAATGGCTCAAGGGGGCGTTTCTTTCAAAAAGGTTAAGAACCACTGGAATAGATCATAAGGCAGGGGCAATAGGGATTATTAGCTTTGAGGGGTGGAAAGGAAAAGGCTGTCATTTTTCTAGCAGCCATATTAGTAGCCTAAAAGCTTTACTCCACCAATGTGTAGAGATGCGGTGTGGAAAATTTTCTGCTCATGTGTATGGTCAGATCTGGTACTGTGTCTCTGGAAGTCATCTTAGCAGGGCATTTTTGATCATAAGGCAGGGGCAATAGGGATTATTAGCTTTGAGGGGTGGAAAGGAAAAGGCTGTCATTTTTCTAGCAGCCATATTAGTAGCCTAAAAGCTTTACTCCACCAATGTGTAGAGATGCGGTGTGGAAAATTTTCTGCTCATGTGTATGGTCAGATCTGGTACTGTGTCTCTGGAAGTCATCTTAGCAGGGCATTTTTGACACACACACAGGCTCACTGGCCTGGCAGTTGAATCTCACTTGAATACTGCTAACAAGACAACTATCTCTTGTCCTCTGGAGGGTGGCAAACTATTTTGAGGAAAGAGCAGGACATGCTAAGGTTGGGGACCACAGTGTTGTCCTCTAACACAGTGGTCCCCAACCTTTTTCCCTCTACAGACGGGTTTAGTATGCAGGGGGAGGGTGTGTGTGCATGGGAGGGGTCGCGTCTGGACTGGTCTGCTGACCGGGGGTTGGGGATCCCTGCTCTAACACCTTGCCATTTCTATACATATTTCCACCTAAAGCAACAGTCTCACACTGACAGCAGAATTAGATTGGCATCTTCACCTAACTGATTTGAGCATGAAGGATAGTGACTGAGCTTGGTCCTCTGTCTGATATTCAGTGTCCATTATATGTGGATACAAGAAATGCTTCTAATACTTTTTGTGGTTCCGCAGCTCAGAAATGATGGCACATCCAAGCCTTCTTCCTGAAGTGGACGTCTCAGTTTTGGGTCCTCTGCTTCCTTTGGAGACAGTAGAGTATCTAGAAGAGATCTACCTTAGTAAAGTAGAGGTGAGTGGGAGAGCCAGGGTCATGATTCTACGTATCAGCAAGCTTTAGTTGATTCCAAACACAAGTGACACAGTCTTGGGACTCTCTGGAATGAGAAAGGAACTTGTAATTTTTTTTCTTCAAAGAAGGTGATTGATGGGGCAAGTGCTCAGTGTTTCCTCCCCACCAGCTACTTCTCTGTTCAAAATGGATCTTGTTAAGTGCTTCCAAGTTGTTTTCAACTCACAGCAAGTTGGCCATCCTATGAACTAGCAATCTCTAAAAGGTCCTGTCGTCAATGGCTCTGCTCAGCTTTCCTAAACTCCAGGCTAAGGCTTCCTTTATTGAGTCAATCAGTCCAATACTTGATATTTTGCTTTTCCTGCTGTCTGCAGCTTTCCTAGCATTATTGTCTTTTCCATTGGCTCTTGTATTTTCATCACGTGCCCTAAGTATGATAGACTCAGTTTAATTATTTTTGGTTCAAGGGAGAGTTCAGGCTTGATTTTATCTAGAGCACACTTTGTTGTTTATCTGGTGGTCCACTGTACCTGCAAAATTTTCCTCCGATACTACACCTCAAGTGAATCAATCTTTTTCCTGTCAGCATTCACATTCATAAATGGTAATTGGCAATATCGTAGTGCAGATAATGCTTTGCTTCCAAAAAAAATCAGACATCAGAACAATGTTATGTGAATTTTTGTGTAAGGTGCATTGCCTTTCGTATAGCAGGGGTGGGCAACTCGTAGCCCTCAAGAAAGGGTTTAAATTAAAGCTCACCTCAATCCCAGCCAGCATAGGCAGGTATTAGGGGTTGTAGTCCAGCAAGATCTGGGAGGCCACAGGCTTGCTTATTCCTGCTGTAGAGCTTTCATTGTCTTTTCGCAGCAAGAGAGGGAAAGGAACGGAGACAGATTGTGTCAGGTTTGCAACACCGCCAGGAGTAACAAGGGAAATACATGCTCTATGTACGGCAGCTATTTGTGTAATGTTACTCATCCACTGGGCATATGAATTTGAGTACAGATGGAGTAATGATTAATAGCTTATATTCAGTGGGGTGTCCCTAGATTTCCCTAAAGAGGAGCAGTTACTGTGTATCGTCCTGTTTTGTCCTAGGCCAGCATAACTGAATGGATGCAGAAGATGCTGGAGATGGAGTTTAAAGATTGGTTCAGTGAAAAAGAACCAGAATCAAATTATCAAGGCTGTTTCCAGACCAGTCTACCTATCATGGTTATGAAGGTCAGAAGTCATCAAGTTAGAAAGGGGGCTAACTAATTTCCACATGAGATTATCTCTTTTTAAAAGCAGAAGCAAATCCATGACTCTCGCCTTCATCTACTTGCTCTCTCTGTTTTCTGTGCTTACCTCAGATGTTGGATGAAAACATCCGGGTAGTATCTCTCATCTCTGATTCTCTCCAGCAGAAGGTTCGCAACATGGCTCTGGGTAGGTTGGAGGCCTTTGTCAGCAGGTCAGTTCTCCCTCTGTACTCATGTGTGTGTGTGTGTGAGTGTGTCTACAGTAGAATAAGAAGCTGTGACAAAACTGAAAAGGAAACTAATTCCAAATAATTAAAAAATTATAGTTAATTTTTGCCCAGTAACTAAGATATTCAGGAAAACAGCTTAGTTGTGGTACTCTGCTGCTTCAGGAACTCAATGAGGAAAAACTTCACTCTTTTTGTGGCATAATTTGAACTTTTTAATTACTTTTACAGTTACAGGAAAGTACGATCTTTGTAAAAGGTGGAAGAGGAGCACCATATGGTTCAAGGACTATTTGTCCCATGCCTCTGCTGCTAAATTAAAAGCACCTAGAATAGATGTTTGCTTTTAAAACAAATAAATTAAAGGCATTTTGCTGACTTAGTTACTTCTGAGAAACAGAAAAGCAAAATGTTACTATTCAAAACTGTATCTGTAACTTAACTGTTTTTAAAAATAGTTTTCTGAGCATGGGGCAGGACAGGACTGCACTTCATAACAGTAAGGCAGGGAAAAAACCTTTCAGCTAGGCCCTAGAAAACAGTACTGTTACTAGCTGGCAATATTTAACTCGCAATTATGGTTTCTGTTAAGGAATCCTGACTTTGTTTTTCCCTTCTTTCATCCGTCTGACATCCCTGTAGAAGTTTGATTGTCCTAATCCACCCCGTCTGTTGCAACATTTCTCAGCTAGAAAAGGCCATTATCTCTTGATAGACTTGGAACAGGCAGAGGTTGGGAAAATGACATTATTGGACTACAGTTCCCAGAATCCCCAGGGAGCAACGCCACTGATCTGTTGGCCAGAGGATTCGTGTAGCTGTAGTACAAAAGAGTAAAATTTCCAGGCTTTGCCTTGGAATACGGTGGTAATGCAGTCATATATGATGATTACTTTACGAGATATGTCATTCTGCAGTGGTTCCATTTGCTTTTTATTCCAATTTTACTACTGTATGATCAAGATGCCCTGACACCTGCTCTGCTTCTCTGCAGTCTTTATGAATTGCTGGTGGAATTTGGCAAGGAACATCAAAAAGAGAAGGCAGCATCCGAGCACTACACATCTTACGTGCTGGCCACCCTCAACAACTGCCTGGCCCTCAGGTATTCCCCTAAGATTGGCACCTCTGTAGGCCAGTCTTGCCACCACTGTCATCTTGCACCCAAGCTGTTTTTTTTCTAGCTGCGTGCCACGAGGCTACTATTTCATGGTTGTATTTCTCTCCATGGGCAGTACTTCCATCTCGGTGCTGTATACCAATGGGACGTCATCTCTGGAGCCTACAGAGGTGCCACCATCACTGAATGTCACCCTTGAGAAAGCCCAGAAGAAAGCAGTCAGGCTTTTACTGGAGGAGGTACTGAAAGAGCTGCAGGTACATCTTAACTGCCAGAAACCTGGCCCAGTCTATAGAAAACAGAACACAGATTACTGTCTCTGTGGTGTAAATCAGTGGTTCTTAACCTTTGTTACTCAGATGCTTTTGAACTGCAACTCCCAGAAACCCCAGTCAGCACAGCTGGTGGTGAAGGCTTCTGGGAGTTGCAGTCCAAAACTCCTGAGTAACCCAAGGTTAAGAACCAATGGTGTAAAGTACCCTTTTACAGTCATATTGGAGAACCATTTTCAACCAGTGGGCCAAAGTGGCCCAGCCTGAGAGGACACGGGGGGCATCACATGCCAAAAGGGGGCATGAGCACTCCCCGAAATTGAGGCGCTGCTGGCATGCACCCTCCTACATTCTTTCTACATACAGATTCACATTCATAGACAGACACGTTTGTGACGAACACGGGTTCGAAAACACTGCCAAAAGGGGGCATGAGCACTCCCCGAAATTGAGGCGCTGCTGGCATGCACCCTCCTACATTCTTTCTACATACAGATCCAGATTCATAGACAGACACGTTCACACATCATACAGACGCAGGTATCATGCATGCCTGAGCAGGAACACGTTACAACCCTCAAGATCTCTCAGCACGTACAGCCATATGGTCCAATAAAGTACCTTTTCCAAATTCTGGTTCATGCATCCATACGCACACACAGGCACACACAGGCACACACAGGCACACACACACACACATACACACACACACACACACATCATTCATTCTCCGTCATTCAGACAAACACATGCAGCCTGTGTCTCAGTTCCACCTCCTCCACTCATCCATGTGTAACTGCTATGGAAATCCCGATGAAGTGGTGTTTAATCCACGAAAGCTTGTTTATTGTGTGATGATTTTTAGTGGCCTATTTTTGCATTTGGGTACGATGGAAGAGGCATTTTTCTTTTCCATGGAACGAGAGGTCCTCTTTCTTTGCAGTCAGCTGACAACTGGAGAGAAGCCTTTGGCCCTTCCTCTATGTTGGGACCTGGGAAAGGACTGGGATCTAGCAAATCAGAGGGGAACCCATAATTTTGAAATTCCCCAAGTTTGTTTTATGGAGCTGTTATTTCAACAATCCAAACAGGGTTACTCCTTGAAAATGCATATAGACATGTTTGAATGTCTATTTTTATTTTAGAACAGGTAGCATGTTAGTCTGTACTAGCATATCAGACCAAAACCAAAAGAAAAATAAAAAAATAAAGAAGACAAAAATGTTGTGGCACCTTACAGACTAACTGCTATATTTCAGTGTGAGCTCTCGTGGAGAAGTCCACTTCCTCAGACCGCAACTTGTTCATAAGAGCTCACGTGAAAAACAAAATTTATTTATTTATTTTGTTTTTGTTGTGTTGTGTTGTGTGTATGTTTGTGAGCCCCACCTTTTAACTTGTTTGGTCACCCCATACATTCAAGTGAAGACTATGGCTATTCTTTTCTCCTGCCACAAAAACATTACACCAAGCCACCCAGAGACCTTTGGGTAGTGTGGGCGGCATATAAGTTAAATAAATAAATAAATAAATAAATAAATAAATAAATATTCTGACACTTATGCACTTGTTTTTGAAGACTTTTTAAAAGTTACATATTCGCATATTGCTTTCCCTCTGTCTCTTTCTGGGTTTAATACTAATACTGTATGTTATGCCTATAACTAAACTATGTGCCCTCTTACCTGAGTTTTCTCTATGTATTTGTGATGGTTTTGTAAGCCTTTTTTCTTAACTCTGGAGGGAAGCAGGAGGACATGCGAAATATGTATTATCTTTTTCTGCCCCAGCCTCTGTTCACACAGCTACCCTCCCCTCAGTGGTTGACTGATGAATCCCAGCTGATGAGCGACATATGTAAGGTGATGGACAAGCATACAAAGCACTTCTGCAGAACTCAGAGATCCATCAGTGTGGTAAGATCCTCCCACAGCCAAGGATGATGGTTTAAGGGTGTATCGGTTAAGCAGGGAGACCCCATGAGTTGCAGCCAACCTGCGCTATGCCAGTTTCTACTTCTGTTGCTGGGACATTCTGAAAACTGTGGTGCAGCCCACCAGAAGGTCGGAGTTCAAAAAGCACATGTTCAGTTTCACCAGTGCACATATGGGCCTGCACACGCATACATGCTGCATTTCTGTCCCTTGTCTCGGTGTTGCTGAGTACGTATAACCTTTGGAATAACCAGAATGACCAACCCACCTTTTGCTCCCTTGGTGTTCAGCACCTTCTGTCAGAGACCGAGCACCTGGTCGTGAACCAGTACATCAGAGCCCTCCTGCAGAAACGGATGGTGTGCCGTAACGCTGAAGAGAGGAACCAGATGGCTCGGCGGATGTTGCAGGATGCCTCTCAACTCAAGGAGTTCTTCAGCATCCTGGTGAGAGGATGGGAAAGGTGGAAGGACAGTTATGCCAGTTTTTAAAACATGTTAAAGGCAAAGAAAGGGTCAGTGTGTGCCAATGATAGTTAGGGAAACACAGATCGACTCTCCTGACCGGGTAGCAAGCTTCTCCAGTTGAACACAACTTAGCTAAATTGTATGTTTTTTTAAAAAAGGTACAGTTGTGGTTTAGGGAAATGGTATGGCAACTTCATATATCATCCTATCCGTAGCTGCTAGTTGCTGCTATCTATGATTCTAGGGCCTTCAGATTAAGTTTGAAGACAGGATGTATCTATATATTGCGCTGATTGAATTTCCTTGTCCTCCCTTTCCTCTTTCAGGGTCTAGAGGAGAACAAGCAGACCCTCGAAGTAATTGTTGATCTGCAGGAGCTCATAAATCTTGAGGATTTATCCATGCTCAGCCTAGAAGTGCTGGGATTTGTGGCAAAATACCCTGATATCAGGTAAGATGGCCCGAATGCTGCTGAAACTATCATTTCCCCTCTTGCACCATGACTTTCCATGCTATCATGTCATATCACTCAGAACCTAGAATCATAGAATCAGAATTGTTGTAGGGTTGGAAGGGACCTTGGAGGTCTTCTAGTCTAACCTTCTGCCCAAAGCAGGAGACCTCGTACCATCTTGGACAGATGGCTGTGCAATCTTTTCTGGAATACCTCCAGCAATGGGGCACCCACAACATCGGGGCGAAAGCTGTTGGTTCTCACCGTCAAGAAATTCCTCCTTCTTTCCAGGTTGGATCTAAAAGCTGTTCCACTGGTTTTCCTTATTCCCAGGTTGGATCTTCCACCTATGGGTTCTTGTCCTACCCTTGGGTGCAATGGAGAATAAATCAATGCCCTCTTCTCTGTGCAACCCTTCAGATATTGGAAGACTGCTATCATGTCTCCCTTCAGTCTTCTCTTCATTAAGCTAAACATACCTAGTTCTTTTAGTCGTTCTTCATAGGATTTAGCCTCCAGTCCCCTTATCATCTTTGTTGCCCTTCTCGGCACCCCTTCCAGGGCCTCAGCATCTTTTTTGTTTTGGGGTGACCAGAACTGGACACAGCACTCCAAGTGCAGCCTCACCAGCTTCAGGTGGAGCATTGATGCCTTCTCTCTTAGTGCCAAAGTACTGGTCTTGAGTACTGGTCTTACAAGGATTTCTGTCCATATTTATCCTTGAAGCCCAGGTCTCTTTTCTTTTTAAAAAATCAGCCTCTCTTCAATAAATTGTTCAAAAGTATTTAAAAAGGCTTGATGACACCCTTAAAATGATCTTTGCTGGGCGCTTGCTTGTTTGCTTTCTTGCTATGGTAGATCAGCATTGAAAGCCCCACCCAGTCCTTGGTAGTTTTGAGAGAGGGGCGAAGAGAACTGGATCTTCCTTCTGACCACGTGGCTTTGTTTCGGTTTGTGGAGGAAGGAAAGTATGCAGGGCTTAGCAGCCGAAGCGAAGCAACCTGTTAAGGAGCACTCCTGAGGGATACCTCTTTTCAACAAAGCGAGGCAGTGGAGCCTTGGAGCTCCTAAGCTATTTTGTTTACTTTCCACATAATTCTCCAAATATTGCTTTGTTTCCCTTCCAACTGGAAGCTGTTCATCTCAAGGGCTGCCGATCTGGTGTATACAACTTTGCATGACTTTTCCTCCTGGGCCTGCATTACGGGCTATTTACACATAGTTGTAATGTGGAACTTGTCCCAAACTGAAAAAAAACACGCACCAAACCTATATTGAAATATAGCTGTTAGTCTTCTTTATTATTTATTTTTCTTTCGGCTTTGCCTGATATACTGATACTAGAGGTGCTCAGAAAATGGCAGCAATTTTATTGGCTATAGTAGCAGCATCCCTGGCATGGGTCTGGGATCCGTGACTTGGCCCACAAGCCATCCCAACTGAGGGGGCTCTCCTTCTGTTCAGATGGCATATTCCACACAGCACTGGCCCTAAATACCAGAGGGGGGGGCATTTCTGTGGTCACTACCAGGAGGCATCATGGGGCTCCCAAGAGCAACCATTCTCTTCCCTTGATTGCTTGTGTGCATGTTTGTGACTGTCTTTTGACACCATCTAGTGCCTGCCAACTTTACAAGGAATCATGTCCTTGGATGGGATCTGCGGTGGCTACATCATCCTGAAAATTAGAGTCACCTTGTACTAATAGACGGATAAGCAAAGTGTGACCTGAAAATCTTTTTGGACAGCAATTCCTAGTACTCGTTCATATTATCTCTGCTGGCTAAAGTTAATGGAAGTTGCAATCCAACAGCATTTCCCAGGCCCACTATAAAAGTGTAACTATACATGACATTAATAATGCATTAATTTGTTGTTTTACTAAATTGTTGGGGGCACAGTAGAGGGCCTTCTCTGTTGCTGCTTCTAGATTTTGGAACTTCATCCAACAGGAGGCCAGACTGGCCCCATTTTGCTGTCCTTCTACAAGCGGACAAAGATCTTTCTTTTCAAGCAAGCTTTCCATGAGTGACTGGATGCCTGAGTGGGATTTTTAAATGGCTGACTGTGCCGTACTGCTTTGAATGTTTAAGTATTGCTTTTGTTTACCATTTCTCATGAATCCCAAACCGGAATTAAGATTGCCAGAAGAAGTATCAACAATCTCAGATATGCAGATGATACCACTCTGATGGCAGAAAGTGAGGAGGAATTAAAGAACCTCTTAATGAGAGTGAAAGAGGAGAGCGCAAAAAATGGTCTGAAGCTCAATATCAAAAAAACTAAGATCATGGCCACTGGTCCCATCACCTCCTGGCAAATAGAAGGGAAGGATATGGACACAGTGACAGATTTTACCTTCTTGGGCTCCATGATCACTGCAGATGGTGGCAGCAGCCCCGAAATTAAAAGATGCCTGCTTCTTGGGAGGAAAGTGATGACAAACGTAGACAGCATCTTTAAAAAACGTAGACATCACCTTGCCGACAAACGTTCGCATAGTCAAAACTATGGTTTTTCCAGTAGTGATGTATGGAAGTGAGAGCTGGATCATAAAGAAGGCTGCCCGCCGAAGAACTGATGCTTTTGAATTGTGGTGCTGGACGAGACTCTTGAGAGTCCCCGGAATGCATGGAGAACAAATCTATCCATTCTGAAGGAAATTAACCCTGAGTGCTCACTGGAAGGACAGATCCTGAAGCTGAGGCTCCAATACTTTGGCCATCTCATGAGAAGAGAAGACTCCCTGGAAAAGACCCTGATGTTGGGAAAATGTGAAGGCAAAAGGAGAAGGGGACGACAGAGGATGAGATGGTTGGACTGGGTCATCGAAGCAACCAACATGAATCTGACCCAACTCCGGGAGGCAGTGGAAGACAAGAGGGCCTGGCATGCTCTGGTCCATGGGGTCACGAAGAGTCGGACAAGACTAAACAACTAAACAACAACAACAAATGAATTGATGACCTGCACGAGGCTCTGCCATCAACAGTATTGCTCAGATTTTGCAAACTGAAGACTATGGCACTGCTCTGTGTATCTTGTAGCACCTGTCGTTCCTTTAGATTAGCCTATTGCATGATGAAGGGTGCTACTCCATTGCCAGTAAGGGTCTGCCTACACAGTGGGAAAAATATGGGTTGAGCAATTGTGATTTAAATCCATGAAAATAGGGTTCCCGGGATGCATTCACAGTAGCCATCCAGATTTGCAGGAGTCAGCATGACCAGACATAGTGCTTTAGCTACACTAAGCTCTAAGAGCAGAAACTGCCGTAAAAGGGCTCTTCCAAGTGCTAATTGGCAATTTCCACCTCTCTGTGTCTCTCTGTCTTTTAATTGGTCTAAGTGCTCTAATGAAAGCCTGTTCCAGCACTGAGATAAAAAATATCTAAAAGGAGAAATGGTTTGGAGACAAGGGGCAGTCAGTTGAGAGGAACTGACATCCCTGTGAGTGCCTCTTTGCTTCAGATCAGGCAGTCACATAAACAGAAAGCCGACAAAAGTGATGTCAAACTAATCACAACAAATGTAAACCATTCCTGGCATCTGAAAATCCCTGCTCAAAAAAGACACTTCCACAATGATCTTCTGCGCATTCAGCTTTACGTCATGTAGTTGCTGGCCTTTAATTCCAATTAATCAGTGTCCAATTTGACATAAATTGCAGAGTAAAAGTCCAATGTAGTTGCTCCCTATGTTTTTGTACGTGTAATAGGGGTGGGTGGGGAAAAATCATGCCTTTTGTCTCAGGCAGCAACAAAGAGACCACAATAGAGGTGACCTATTTCTTCTCTGTTCTGTCTTCAGCGATGATCACATTTCCATACTCCTGGACTTGCATGGCGACATCTCTAAAGAAATCCGCAATAATGTCCTGGAGTTCATGGCGCAGAATCCTCAAGTCCTGCATGAGAACTATGAACCTTTTTTTAGCAATATCTTAGTCCCTGCTCCAGAGCCACCCTTCTGTCTAGGCAAGACCAAATGTGCCTAATGTTGGTTTGGATGTTGCCGGAAACAGTCAGCTCCATCTGCCTTTCCAGCTGACCTTTTCGTTTCCCAACAACGGCCAATAGCAAGGAGGAGACTGAATGGGGTTTGGTTTGTTGGTTCCAAATTGCAAACAAGATGTTCTCACACAATTAACACTGTCCCATTTGTTCAAAACACAGTGTACCATTTTGTCTGTTTGGTAGGTGAAGTTAACTGAACCTGCTGTGTTGACTGTCATCTACACATTCACAATGTGCTTAATGCAGTGCTAATATTCTCTGTGCGAATGTGCAAGAGTTGTGTAAATCCTAGATATCAAACAAATTTGCTTCTATAGTTGCATCATTCAGTGTTAGTGTCAGTTCAAATGTAGTTTGAAATTATATGTAGAATTCACAACCCACTTGTCAATTACATATATAAATGTGTGCCTATGTTAATGTAGAATGGGATTGTCAAGTAAAGCTGACCTATTTTCCGCTCCAAAAACAAAACATTACACCACTGCTAATGTTTTTTATATAACTCTTATGCAGGGGAAAATTTGAATTTCTTAAAAACAGAGAGAATGTATGTAATAAATAAATGATAAATTGGTAAGTGCCCAGCTCTATTGGCAAAAGTATGTTATGGGCCCACATACAGAGAGTGGAAGCAAAAATTTTCATAGTGGGGTTCTAAACTGTAAGAACTAGTGTAAGGCTGGTGGTTAACTACCAACCAGTAGCGAACCTCCCTTATTTGGGCAAAGTGTTGGAGCGGGTTGTGGCTGGGCAACTCCAGGCGCTGCTGGATGAAATGGATTTTCTGGATCCATTTCAATCGGGTTTCAGGCCGGATTTTGGTACAGATTGCTTTGGTCCCCCTGTACGATGACCTTTGCCGGGAGAGAGACAGGGGGAGTGTGACTCTGTTGATACTCCTGGACCTCTCAGCGGCTTTCACCATCGACCATGGTGTCCTTCTGGAT